CGAGCGATTTAGTAAACATAATAGAAGCCATGAACCCTAGGAGGCCTTGCGACTTATTAATGTCATAAATGCGTTTAAAAGAAACCCTACTGATTTTTCTCTCCACTGGCTACATTCTACTTCTAATATTTAGGCCTAATAATAAACATTATCGAAAATATTATAGCCGTGAATCAGTAAATAGATACACAATACATGTCACTGATTAATAGTAAATTGGTAGTAAGTTTTTAGAGGTCTCTTAAATTTTTGTGGATGTCCACAGGGGGGGGGGGGGGCTCGGTCGAAAGTGGACGCGTGTGGATGGGCGGGGGGGAAGAGAGAGAGGGCTCTAAAATCCGAAAATTTTGTGGACGTCATAAATGGATGACCACTTGTCAGTTGGGAAAACAACATTAAAAACTGGCTTTAATCTGACAACAATGTCAGATAGTTGATTAGCCTGAACTATCAGATTCTCAGATGTTATAAACTTTTATTCTTGCCCCGTAGTTCCTAAAACAATGGATGTTGGTATACCAGGACAGTCCAAAACGCATTTAAGAGTAATAGTAATTTTAAACTAACAAGGTGCTGGGTTAAAATAACTTTAAATTCCATACTATTGTAGCTTAAGTAAAGAAGCTTGTTTATTTACATAATCTATAATATAATGCAGGTGGTAGTGTGTCAGTCCTTCCTTCCGTCATCGCTATAGATGTGTCTTATAATTGGATGGGTAGGGTTTATTTATATAATAACTAAAAATTTTGGTGGCCGGAAAGAACCGCAACGGAAAAAAGCGCAAAACAAAAAGCGCAACGGAAATAAGCGCACACGGAAAAAAGCGCACACGGAAAAAAGCGCACACGGAAAAAAGCGCAAAGAGAAAAAAGCGCAAACGGAAAAAAGCGCAAACAGAAAAAAGCGCACACGGAAAAAAGCGCAAACGGAAAAAAGCGCAAAGAGAAAAAAGCGCACACGGAAAAAAGCGCACACGGAAAAAAGCGCACACGGAAAAAAGCGCACACGGAAAAAAGCGCAAACGGAAAAAAGCGCAAACAGAAAAAAGCGCAAACGGAAAAAAAGCGCAAACGGAAAAAAGCGCACACAGAAAAAAGCGCAAACGGAAAAAAGCGCAAACAGAAACAGAAAAACGCACAACCAGAAAAAACACAACGAAAAATGTGCAAAAGAGAAATTTAGCACAAAGACCATATGGACTAGATGACACATTTATACATGACTGTTAGGGCTCTTTTGCACATTTTTCGTTGTGTTTTTCTGGTTGCGCATTTTTCTGTTTCTGTTTGCGCTTTTTTCCGTGTGCGTTTTTTTTCCGTTTGCGCTTTTTCTCTTTGCGCTTTTTTCTGTGTGCGCTTTTTTCCGTTGCGGTTCTTTCTGGGAACCAAAAATTTTGTATAGTTGGCACTTTTTTTTCTCTTTTGCATAAGTGAATAAAATTTTAAATTAACGCACATTGCTAAAACATTAAATGGATCAATGACAAATTATACTTTCATGTAGATTACTAGAAAAATTAGATACATTTTAATAACAGTAGGGTAAATAAACTAAATTAAAATCTTTTATAATTTTGACAGGGGAGGTAATTTAAAAAGAAATTGAAAGCACGCTAATAAAAAAAAATGTGAATGCAAATTTTCCGGACCTGCAAGAGGACATTTTTGTTAGAATGTTATAATTAGCATGGATTGATACAATGCACCGTGGTAGGTAAAATACGGATATTTCAAATATTGCCTTTTGTTTAATTTATGAATAAGTTGGGGTATTATAGTCGTTTACTACTAAGTTGAATCAGGCAGTTCCCCCGGAGCCACGGACGCTTGTGATTTAGCGCCCCGGGCTAGAGTGTGAACACTATGTGTTTATGTTTGCATTTAAGTTGTTTATGTGTTGCGTTTGTGTGTTAGTTTTTTTTGCGTTGGGTTTGTGTTTTCGTTTGTCTTTGTGTTCAGTTCTGTTCTCAAGTTGGTACATTTAAAAAAGATTCACCTTGGCAGAGCATAGTTATGCAGCTAGTGAAATTATAATCAATAATTGTCATATGTGTAGACCTATTCAGCCAAGTAATCACAACCCCTCTCCCACCACAACGACCTTAATGCATATCCACTAAAAAAATTGGTGGAAAAATCTTGGTAACTATGACAACGACTGCCATCTTGCAGTCTAGGCTGCATATTTAAAAACAAAGTGTATATAACAGTAACATTTTTTGGGGCATGTATCTTTCGGGAGAACAGATGGCTCCCAGTGTGTCTATATGGCATATTCTATGACCTAATAATTCTATCAGGAATCAACAATTTTTTTTAAGTACTGAAGTAGGCTAAGGTGGCTATATTTTCCTTATCTATATATATATATAATTCTCTTCATGGAGACCATAGAAAACGCCAAGCTGTAAGCGCGTCAAGCAGCCCCCTCTCTACCTCTCTAGGCATATCCCTACCACCCCCACATGGTAGAGCCGGATTTAGTGACTGCTATTAGGGGCAGATATTTTAGTTTGAAACGATTTTAAACTTAGGGGAGGTAACGACTAGAAATCTCACCCTCTCGGCTCCACCCCTTAAATTTTTTTTACTATTTTTATTCAGCAGAAATCTTCTCAAGAGTATTCTCACCTACAAAGTTTCGTGGCATTCAGATGAACGGCGACAAACTGTATCTGACTTTTATCTTTTATATACCATATGTAGAGAAAAATCTCATCGCATGGAACATTAAAATAAAATTCTAAAACTTAGGTCTCAAATTAGTAACATAAGACAAAAAAAAACTATTTTCCAACGTAAGTCAATGATGTTAGTGGTAGGTGACACCAGTTTGGCAGGATTTAAATTCTTTAACTCACTACCAATGCCTTGGAATAAGCTCAATTGTTCTATTCTAATTAGAAAAATGCAAATAATCTTGTGTAGTTACGCTATATTGTTTTTTCAGATTCAGACCTTTATCTGCCATGTTGTTATTTCCTATATAATAAGTCAAAGTAAAAATGTGCATTTTTAAAAAAAAATAAAGCATAACATCAAACAGAAACAAGCCTATACAATTATTAATGCAAATTTACTTAAAAGTACTACCCCTGTTTTATAATTTTGCAAACATATTTTATAAAATTTTCATTTTCGTTTCCCCCTTGCTTCATTTTTTACAGGGCTTATATAAGACCCTACATTTTAAATAGAAAAAAAAATATTTCTTTTCTCATATTAAAGCCAGAAATATAATTTTGGTACCAATGGAATTCTTAATACTTCCTCTAACTCATGATTTTAAGATGAAATAGGTCTACTCAAAAGTTCATTTTTATAAGATATAACAAAAAGCAAATCAGGACAAAAACAAAGTGGACGTAATTATGCAGATATGCGCTATTTTTTTCTATTTTTTTTTTACAATAAAAGATCTAAAGCCTAAGCCTTTTGAATACTTTTACCATGTTTGGCACATGAAAGTAAGTTTTAAATAAAAAAAAAGGGTTGAAAAAAAATTTTGGTCGTCATAGAAACCCAAAAAAAAAAAACGAATTATTCGGTACTTTTAAAAAAAATGCTAAAGCTTTTTATAATTTTATTTATAATTAATTTTATTTAGGCCTATAGCAATCAGATTTAAACTGCTTATATAGGTCTAGGCCTATATATTAAAACTTTTGTCAAGACAACCTTTTGAAATAGCTAGGCCTAATAGTACGAATTTTACAAGGTCTAAAAAATCGTGCCCTTTTTAGTATTCAAAAGTTTCAAAATTTGCATATTATTTACCATATACTTTTTTTTCTATCAAACCCATCAAAATTCCATCGTGACATAAGTTGTATTTTTGCATGAAGAACAATTAGGCCTACTGAAAATATGGTTGGCATTGTTTAATAAATAAAAAAAGAAGTAGGGACCTAGGCTTTTTAGTGTTAAAAACCTCCGAACTGAGAAAAACAAAGTAATAAGTAATAAAAAGTAGGTCACAAAATTTCCATATATGTGTAAAGTGCAAAGTCGATGATTGTAAGCTTAATGTGTTTCCGAATTGATGGAAATTAAGATAGTTAAATTAAAATAGGTCTACATGAGAAATCCAGCTTTCCAATGATGCCAAATACAATATGATGAAGGATATAAAACTTTGGCTGATTCTAGATGATATGCATGCACAATGAAGAGAAACTACGACTTCCCTTCGCGGCGATGTTTTGGATGGTGCTGCGCATGCATGTGTTTACAACAGCAGAACCCTAACCCCCAACAATAACCCTAGCTCAGCTATTAAGGCTTAAGGTCACTGCGCATGTGCAGAACTATCTTTTGCCGACCAGGTGGAGATGCTGGGGTGAAAAATCTTTTTCCGAGTAGTTACCTCATAAAACTGTTCATAGATAGCTTGTAAGGTTGGGAAAAATTGATTATTTAATAGTAATAGGGTCATGAAAATGTTAGGCCTATTTCAAACATAGGGCTATGGCCTACAATTTTTTCTCACTTAAGTTATTTTCTAAATATAAAAATAGACAAAGTATCCAAAAGTGCAAGAAATCCATCATGACAAAAACCAGAAATTTATTTGATTTTTTTTTTAAGGAGCATATCCCCTCTAAGTCTTAAAGCAGTCTACCATAGCCTACATAATTACGAAATTATTCATGGTACTCTATTGAGGTCAGGGGTCATTTCCACACGACGCTGCTGCAAAACCCTAACGACATGAAACACTTATTCAGTAATGCTGCTCAATGATTTGTAGGCCGATATTTCTACTACTTTTGGCATTCCATACGGGTGGTAGCTCTATCCAAAGCTCGTCGACCTCCTCAATTAAATAAGGGTTTGGGGGAGGGAGAGGGGGGGGGGGGGGGGCTGAGTGAGCGAACAATCAGCGCAGCTATGCCGATTGGCAATGGCCTGACTTTTTTAAGCAAATGGGTATGTAGCGTAGATATAGTATGGTGGTTATCATTAATAATCCTAAATGATAAATAAAATGGCACCTACCAGAAATAGAAGTTTTTAGTCAACTAAATAGTTTATTGAATATTACGTCCAGGTAGCCTACAACGCAGCATAACGAGAAAAGGAAGTGATATCTTGAAAGTGATGCTGCAGTGAATCTAGTCTGGATTCTTTAGGCCTATGGAAATCAGATATAGGATTTAAAAATTAAATTATTATAGTTTTAGAAATATTCACATTTTGTAAAATATATTTTTCTTTTGAGTTATGTACCAATGTTTTTTTTGAGCGGTTATATTTAGATTATTTGGATCGTAGCCTAGCTTGCCGGAATGACGCCGGTTCGGCAACAGGCTAGAAGAGAAGATCTTTCTAAAGTTTCATTTGCTGATAAACCCCATGCTAGCGTAGGCCCTACGCTTGCAGCGTCACTTTAAATAAATTATAAACAGCTAGGGCAGCTAGGGCTAAGCTGAAATGAGAATGCCTGATTTTTAAAAATGTCTCATCAGCAAAACAAACAAAAAACTCTTTTCGTCTCAGAAAATTGAAAATGGGAATAGTTACTTTCTTAATTTGAATTTTGACAAATATGCAGATTAAAAATATAGATCTAGTTTTTAAAAATGTTCAAAAATAATCTAGCCGCTCGAAGTTTGTCAAAGTAACAACAGACTAACAAAACTAGATCTAGATCTGGATAAAACTAGGTCTAGGTCAATATATTTGAATAGAATCTACATGTCTTCAGATTAAGTTAGATGATGTCACTAGACTAGAAGCTGGCATGTCAGGAGCAGCTAAGACCCGCGCGTTATCTTCAGACAAAAACAGGCCTTCTTTCAGACATTTTTATCCGACGGGATCTTGGCTTGGCTCAGAGGCGTAGCGACCCTTCCCGGCGCCCGCGGCGAACTTTCAATTTGGCCCCCTCCCCGCTTATATATATATATATATATATATATATAAAACCTATATAGGCATATGTATATATATATATATGTATATATATATATATATATATATATATATATATATATATATATATATATATATATATATATATATATATATATATATGTGTGTGTGTGTGTGTGTGTGCGTATAGCTATATAGATATATAATTCTCTTCTGGGAGACGCTAGAAAACAAGCTGTAAGCGCGCTCCCTAACACCCCCACCCCTACATGGTCTGGTGAGCTGTGGTTCACGCTAAATGTTTACAAGCAGAGCCGGGTTTAGTGACGACTATTAGGGGCAGATAATTAAGTTTGAAACGATTTTAAACGTAGGGGGGGGGGGTAACTAAGTGGAGTTTACTTTAACGGAGGGGGGAGGAGGGGGGTTATTGTCCTTAACGAGCTACTTGTAGTGTTTTAAAGAAATATTTTCAGTGGCAGCGTTGGTACTGTCGAATTCACAAATTGTGAATTACTGAAAAGTAGAAAAAACATTGACCACCGGAGTATGATATGCCGCGGGTCGGCTCGTATATATATATATATATATATATATATATATATATATATATATATATATATATATATATATATATATATATATATATATATATATATATATATATATATATATATATATATATATATATATATATATATATATATATATATATATATATATATATATATATATATATATATATATATATATATATATATATATATATATATATATATATATATATATATATATATATATATATATATATATATATATATATATATATATATATATATATATATATATATATATATATATATACATGTATCTATATGTGTGTGTAATCGTGTGTGTATAAGATAAGCGTGTGTGTGTGTAATCGTGTATAAGCGTGTGTGTATGCGTATGTACGACAGTCCGGACAAGGTGTAATAATTACAGTGTATGATTTTCGTTCCTTAAAACTTGACGCCAATTAAATTCCTATTAAGATGCGTTATCCTTTTGCAAAAGATTAGTAATGTCAGTAAAAAATATGCCTGATCTGAGTTAGAGGGTGGTTTGTAGCAAGTGCTAATGTGATAGATTGACGATAGAAGCATGTGGTTGTATATAACGTTTATTGGGTCTAACTACATGTTGATAATCAGAGAGGACGGAAGTGACGAGAGACAACTATTTATATAATGTAAGGGACATCACTCAAGATAACAATATAAATATAATACTAATACAGAAGAGTGAGTTCCCTTGACCTCACAATTATCTCAATCTATTACATCCCTTTACCCTTAGAACACAATAACACATCTCTCAATAGAACAATTGATAGTATCCTAAAATCACCAATTATATTGTAACATGAACACTATGGTAGATTACATCCTTACAAACAATGCACAATATGCTACAACATAATCAAGATACAAAACAATGATGTCAAAGTCCTTTTGACCTTTAAAATCATAGGTCTAACTTATTTGGGACTTTGATTGTCCTGCTTGACCTTCTCAGTGGCTTTTGATTTGGTGACTCAAGATTCTGACCATCTGGATTCTCTATCTCAGGAGGTCTAGGATTTAAATCATTAACTCCAGAATTTACATTTTCTGACTCCAGACAACTTGGTTCACTCATATCAACAGAACTTGGTTGAGGAACAAACTGAGTTGGTGTGAACTGATCAGATTTGGTGGGATTGACAGATTCACACTTATTATCTGCACAAGTTATTTTTAACTGGTCTGCATGTCTACGGACAATAAGTCCATCATTTGTTTTTACTTTATAAGACACAGGTCCTGTACATTGAACAATTTGACCTGGTATCCATTTTTCCCTTCTCCCATAATTTCTTAGATACACATTCTCATTAACACCAAATTCTCTTTCAATGGATGATTTGTCATGATTTACTTTTTGTGTATGTTGATGTTGGGAAACAGACCTTTGAACAGTTGGATGTAGTAGGTCAAGATGAGTTTTAATTTTCCTACCACATAACAATTCACATGGTGCAACACCTGTTGTTATATGAGGAGTTGTGCGGTATTTGGTTAAGAACCTGTTTACTCTTTCTCTAAGAGAAAACTTGTTACCGGTATTCATTTTTACCATAGCGGTTTTGAATATGCCTACCGCTCTTTCAGCCAAACCATTCCCAGCAGGATGATAGGGGGATGTGGTTATATGCTCAATACCATTTGCCACACAAAAAAGTTTAAACTCATGAGCTGTGAAACTAGGCCCATTATCTGAAACAATTTGATCTGGTAATCCATGAGTTGAAAATATTTCCTTCAGTTCTATAATGGTATCATTTGCAGTGATTGTGTTCATGATTTTAACTTCTAACCATTTAGAATGTGAATCAATAACAATTAAGAACATTTTGTTCATGAAAGGTCCTGCGAAATCTATATGTATACGTTTCCATGGTTCGATTGGCCAGTCCCAGTTTTGCAAAGGTGCTGTAGCTGGTTGATTTGAATGTTGTGCACAGCTTGAACAAAGTTTTACATATTTTTCAATATCAGCATCCATATGTGGCCACCAGAACCATGATCTTGCTAGACTCTTCATTTTGGAAGAACCAAGATGAGTATCATGTAAAGTTCTTAAAACTTCTTTTTGTAACATTTTGGGGATAATTACTCTTGACCCCCATAGTACACATCCATCTTCTAGACTTAACTCTGTTTTTCTTATTTTATATGGCTTTAAGTCATCATTCACAGACTCTTCAGGCCAACCATTCTTACAGTACTCATATACTTTTATTAAGCACTCATCTTTTTGTGTTTCTCTTTTAATATCATTCACATTTATATTGGAGTTATCCATGATAGTGAAGAGAACAAATACATCTTCTGGTACATAGCTCAGGCTTTGGTTTTTTAAAGGTAATCTACTAAGGCTATCTGCACTATTCTCAGATCCAGGTTTGTATTTCAATTCATAATTGTATGCAGTTAATGTGATAGCCCATCTTTGAATTCTTGGTGAGGCATGCTCAGGTAGGGTTTTGTTTTCTCCAAATAAACCTAGCAATGGTTTATGATCTGTAAAGATGGTGAACTTCCTACCAAACAGAAACTTATGAAATTTCTTAACACCAAAAATGATGCCTAAGCCTTCCCTATCTAACTGAGAATAATTTTTCTCAGCCTGGTTCAAAGATCTACTGGCAAAAGCAATGGGTCTGTCACCCTTCTCATCCATGTGGGACAAGACTGCTCCTACACCATCTGGTGAAGCATCACATGTTAATATAAGTCTTTTCCCTGGGTCATAGTGAGTTAGTAAGGTGTCAGCAGACAAAGCCTCTTTTGCCGTATTAAAAGCAGTATCCTGTTGTTTACCCCAGTGCCAAGTTGCATTTTTCTGCAGCAGCTTGTACAGTGGTGATAGTTTACCAGACAGATTCCCTATGAACTTTGCATAGTAATTTATCAAGCCCAAAAAAGCTCTTAGTTGTTGGGTATTTTCAGGTTTGGGTGCTTCTTTAATGGCTTTTGTTTTCTCAGGTTGAGGTCTGATGCCTTGTTTGCTCAATATATAACCAAGAAAACTAATTTCTGTCATCATGAATTGACATTTATCTTTGTTTATCTTTAAACCTTTTTCACCAACAATTTTCAATACTTTATCAAGTGTTTTAAGATGTTCAGTGTCATTCTTACCAGTTATGTACACATTGTCAAAGTACACACAAACATTTGGAATATCCTTAAAAATACTGTCCATGACAGCTTGGAAAATTCCAGGGCTAGATGATATGCCAAAACATAGTCTTTCATATTGGTAGAGTCCTTTATGTGTGTTTATTGTCGTATAGACTTTTGAATCTGGATGCAGTTCTAGTTGAGTGTAAGCATGACTAAAGTCTAATTCAGTGAATTTGTCTCCTCCTGCCAAATTCAAAGAGATTTCCTCAATGTTAGGTATAGGGTACCTATTTAGCTCTATTTGCTTATTCAGTGTAGTTTTATAATCTCCACAAATTCTTATAGAACCATCCTTCTTTAACACTGGCACAATGGGCGTTGCCCAATCGGAATAGTCTACCTTCTTTATAATGCCATTAGATTCCAATCTACTTAGCTCATTTTCAATTTTATTCCTCATTGCATAAGGTGGAACTCTAGCTTTGCAGTATCTTGGATTTGTGTCTTTAATGCTTAACTTCACTGTTCTATCATTTAGTAATCCAGA